CAAATTCTGACCCTACCATCTGAATGTGGCAGCAGAAATCGCGTCCGTGCAAATTGTAGCCTTAGTTTCCTGTTCTTAGCTGACAGGCGTGGCACCCGGTGTGGTCTTCTGCTGCTGTAGCCCATCTGCTTCAAGATTGGCTGAGACGTTTACAGAAGACGGAGTCAGTTTGATTGGAAGACCGGATGCTTACGCGCTGCTCATGGTTAGCTCACATTTCACTTCTACTGTGCATGGTATTCTCCCAGTGTAGCGCATACCATGTAATTTTAATGTCCCTGGTTGAGTTCTTGCTGGGGATCATTTTTGCATGTCATCTCCATTTCCTTTCCTCTGTCTCTCATGTCAAAACTATCAGGTAAAGGCAAAGTGCTAAGGGGAAAAAAAAATCTCAAAAATGCAATTTCTCAATGCTTCAAGCACCACAAATGAAATTTTAATGAACTCCACTATGTTACTGGGATTCCACATTAAACGCTGGACTTGAGGAGTGCAGCTCTGGAGGAGCTGAGTGGACAGCTGACTGACAGCAACATTTACTGGACAAAAATAGTCTACAGGTCGGCTCCATGAGGAGTATACAGGAAGAAAGCTGCATTATTTTTTATTCATCGATGCCTTGATTTTTGTTTCACAGTAGTCTGTGGTGTGATACATTTCATAAAATGGAAGTGAGTTGAACGACTAATGAACATCAAAATCACTTTGTGTCTGGCTCACCCTGGAGGCAGAGACATATATATCAAGATCTATATAAATAAAAACATTTTCAGTGACCTCCTGCTCCAAACAACATTTTCAGTATGTGTTTTCCATCCTGACAGTGTTTGTTAATCCTTTGCCTGTGATAAAATCTTGTTGTCACATTTCAGAGATCAGCTCATAACCTTAACACCCCCCCCCCCGCATTAAAGTGCCTGAGCAGTCTGGATGTATTTACTTACTGCCTCAGCGTAGAACTGTTCACACAGCATCTGCAACGATAAAGAAAAATGAGGTGCTGCGAATGACACCACAGCCCTTGCATTTCTGTTTGGCCTGGCTGAGTCACAATGTATTGATGTTTATTTCGTTGTTTTCCTACTTTCTTTTATCCTTGACGCTGACTGTTTTCTCTCTGCTGCGTTAAATCTTAAAGTGAAATAAATGTCGACTCTTTGTGCTGAAACTGTCCTTTTTCTGGTCTTCCTCAGTGCCAGCAGCGTTGACCCTCGACCCCATCACAGCCCACCAAAGACTGATCCTCTCGGACGACTGCACCATAGTGGCCTATGGGAATCTCCATCCGCAGCCTCTGCAGGACTCCCCGCGCCGCTTTGACGTGGAGGTGTCTGTTCTGGGCGCAGAGGGCTTCATGTCGGGCGTCCATTACTGGGAGGTGATGGTGTCGGAGAAGACCCAGTGGATGATCGGTGTGGCTCATGAGACAGTCAGTCGCAAGGGCAGCATCCAGATCCAGCCCAGCCGCGGCTTCTACTGCATCGTCATGCACGATGGCAACCAGTACAGCGCCTGCACCGAGCCGTGGACCCGCCTCAACGTAAAGAGCAAGCTGGAGAAGGTGGGGGTGTACCTGGACTACCACAAAGGCCTGCTCATCTTCTACAATGCAGACGACATGTCCTGGCTCTACACCTACCGGGAGAAATTCCCCGCTAAGGTCTTCCCCTACTTCAGCCCGGGCCAGAGCCACGCCAACGGCAAGAATGTGCAGCCGCTGCGAATTAACACTGTACGCCTTTAAGAGCTGCACATATCTTTGGTCACAATTGTCCTGACAGATAATTCACTTGTGTAGGTTTCAAAAAATGTTCAAGAAATCAGTTTGTGTTTAATAGGGTGTTTGAAATGTTTATTTGAGTTTCAGTTAAAACTCGTGCTTGATGTTGCTCTTAAAACCTGCGCTGTTATTTTTGTGTGACTTGAAACGACCATACGATAATGGCCTGCACTTGAGCCTCATTCCACGTCTTTAATTGAAAAGATGACACTAAATGGAGACAGAGGGACCCCTGGGCTACTGTGGGGTCTGTGGCAGTGATGTTTAAAAAAAAAAAAAAAGTGATTCCCAGGCCCACCTTGCACACTCCCAGGGGGCGACGCTCTCCTTATCAAGCTCCAGGCTTGTCAGACTTGGCGTCCCCTCTCTGTCCACGCCAGAGGACACTGAAGACTGGTCACTTGTCTTCTCTGTGCTGTACAGTTGGCTTAGCTTTGTGTGTGGAATGTGATTGACAGCACTTGGCTCCTTTTTTTTTTTTTTTTTTTTTTTGGCTTTTGTTCGGCCAGCAGTCCACCCTGAACTTGTCAAGTCTGTTCGCACTTTTCACTTCTGTCTGAGACCATTATCTAGGTTCCCCCTGCAGGTCACATCGGCCCTGTTAACACCTGGTATTAAGATGCATCTTGGGTGATGGATCACAAGTGGACAGCTCCAAGTGCAGGTGTGAATGTACCAAATGCTTCCTTAATGTGTCTTGAGATCTGATCGCTCAGACCACTTTCTGAGATTGTGTCAGCCGCATGTGGCCACAGTCTTTCAGCAGTGTGTATATCCTGGGCCACATGGAAGGACCACATACAAGGGCTGCAAAAAAATCATATTGCGATTATTCTAACAGATATTTTGAGTGCCTCATTTGTAATGGCATGTTGTGACACATTTTAACCTTCATCTAACAAATATGCAACTCCTGCAATTTGGATGTTGCACTTGGCCATGTTGCGATTTTGATAATAACTTGATTAATTGTGCAATCCTACCACCAACTCAACTGACGTCCTTGCTTATTTGACACCCCACCGAATAAGAGAACTTTCTGTTGTTGCAGTTACAGAGATGCAGAGCTGAAGGGCCGTGTCTGGAGCATCTCTCCTGCCAGTTCAGCGTCTGCCTGATTAGCATGAGCTAATGCAGCAGCAGCAGCTGCTAAATGGTCACAACAAACTCTCACCAACACCAAAACAGCTTGACTCTTAAACCAGTTAGTGACTGCAAGGTAACATTAGTCGTGTAATGCTAGCCATTAGCCCTGTCAGTGTGTGTGTGTGTGTTGCCAGGCAGACTCTCACCATCTGTAACATGAAACTCACACTCCTGCAGACGTAGTCTTTTAGCGGCGCTTGCCTCATGATAAAGAGATAGAGAGTGCGAGGAATGGCTGCGTATCAATATGCTACATGTGGCCCTACAATTATAGGGCCATTTTATAGTCGTTTGAGAACGTTATTGAGAGGGATTACTTTTGTGACTCTGCATAGCTTGCCTTCAAATAGCAAAGGCTGTAAGTATGCACTTAGCATGAGGAACCTTATGTGCATTAGAAACTACGACACATTTTGTCTTTGTAAATGGAAATGATTCACTTGCTTGTTTGCAAATAGATCAGGGAAGTGAGATGAGATCAGAAGTGGTCACTTGAGATGCATTTGGAGACACGTTCTAATGTCAGGTTTGAACAGACCAACTGAGCTGTCCCCTCGTGATCAGATCACCCAAGACACGTGGATACCAGATCCAAACAGGTTCATCCATGTGTGTCTGTTCAGTCTTCATCATTGCAAGGAAAGCTGTTGTTCTTTGTGCACCAGCGATAATCCATGTCACCAAGAAAAATTAAATGAATCTAAAAGGAATCCATAGGCTGCCCATCCCTGTCCACTGCTCAGCCCTACCCACAAGTGGTGGGAAATTCTGTTTGGAGGTGGAGGTCGTCCAGAAATATGCTGCTACCGATGGAGTAAGGACTTGCATGTTTGTATATAGAGTGTCAAGAGTTAAAAGAACTTAGTCTCTCATCACGGTGCTGGCTCATGTTTAAGTTTCCGTTCCAAAACCACAAGTATGCTCGCCATCAGCATACGCTATATATATGTATCTGTGGGTTGTCTTTTTGTCCACTTTAGTGTTGAATTCAAGCACAGCTCTGCTTTCAGTCATGTTTGATCATTTTGTCTTCAAATCAAAAAAATATTAAATCATGCTGTCTGAGTAAAAGCTTCTCAGATGTAAAAAAAAAAAAAATCTGAAAGGTTAAAGATGAATCATTGCTCCAAAAGAGACCGACTGTTCCCCCTTTTTTTAAAAAAAATCATATCATTTCAGTACATGAAGTCAAGCTGGGGAACGGCAATTACTAAATCAAAATGGTAACGGATGGACTCTAGGGCTACATATGCTATTCCTGCAACTGGCATTCCCTAGGCTGTTACATAATGACAAAATCACTGATAAGTCCCCCGAGGCTCACCCATGTTTATTTCTCCCCCCCCACGTGCCTCAAGTGCTCTTGTTTATAATGAGTTGTACACAAGTCCTGCAGAATCCACTCTTAAGAGGCTCTGGTCGCTCAGCCAAGTTCGGCATACCGAGAGATGTGTCTGCGGGGTGGGTGGGCATGTGCACAGGTGTGTTTGTACGGCCTGGTTCAGCTATAATTTTAAATCCAGCTTTGGTTGTGCTTGATAAAGCCCATCTGGCCCTCTGAGCATACCCATGCAGCAGCCAAAAGTGATTATTACAAAATACTTTGGAATCTGGGATAACTTTGGAAAATCTACAACAGCAAAAAAAAAAAAAAACAACTTCCATTGCCACTGTACATCTTTACATTTGTGTGTGTGTGTGTGTTGTCTGTGTTGTCCATTTAAAAGAAAATTGGGGCAGTGCCCTTGTTTTTGTAGGATGTAATTCCGGTATGTGCAGTATGATGCAAACTGGGGTCAAACGCAGAGCGTCTGCAAATTATTCCTGGTATTTGTTTGTGTGCTGATCTGCAGGATTCCGTTCAAGAAGCAGATCTACGGTGTTGAATAAAACCTGGAACCAGAAAGTTTAGACAATCAGGACAATATCCATTTTACTTCTCTCTGATTGAGACTTTATTTATTGTCCCTGAGGAGTAAATCCCAACCAGCTGGCTCAAACACATGCTTATATTTGACCCCGGTTTGCTGTGTCGCGGACTTCGGTGTAGTCTGCTTCATTTAAGACTTTCTGTTTGAATGTTAAGGAGATTATTGTGAGGTGGTGTTGGGTTACTGGTGGAGGTGATGACGCTAATTGTTTTATGATGGTAACTATGACACTTTTAATAATTATAATGATGATTGTGTCGTTTGATGATGGCCGCTGTGCACCCATCATTGTGTGAACACACTTGAGTGTGCTTTAGCCGCAGCTGAGGTTTGTGGGAAATGTTTTAATGTACAATAAATCACTGCTAAAATCAGCAAGGTTCTTTACCCGTGTCTTTTCTTGGTTGTGTGCACTAACACAGAGGCTGTAGAGCATCAATAAGGATTTTTGTTCCCAAATTCAAAATCTATACACCACTCTGTGTGAAACTCAGTGGGATCATTTCTTATGAAGGTAATGTGAGCCAGAAACTGAGTCCACAGTAACTGTGTCTGAATAGAATGTAACTGATAGTGTAAACACTGAACTCCACTGTATTTAATATCATGACTGACACCCACTTAAAAGGGTCGGATCCAGCGTACCAGATCAATGCGTCTCTTGTTTCCAACTTGGGGGTTTGTAACCTCCAACGGGTCAAAAGATGATCGTCAATTTACAGGACATGGAAAAATGATTTATCTGATGGATAAAATGTGTGTTTTTTCCTCAGACATATCTCAGCTCTTTGCTATTTTCTTGTCAAATACTGGATGACTGTACCATAAATGTCCGTCTCAAGGATAATCATCCAGTAGTTGTTGAGATATTTCAGTCTGGACCAAAGTAGTAGACAGACTGAAATTACCATCCATCAAGCTTTTCACTGCCATGGCTAAAAAACATCTGAGACTGTTCATTCATTCATTCATTCATTCATTTTCCGTAACCGCTTATCCTGTTAGGGATTGCAGGGGGCTGGAACCTATCCCAGCTGACACTGGGTGAGAGGCAGGGTACACCCTGGACAGGCTGGCAGACTATCACAGGGCTGACACATAGAGACAACCATTCACACTCACATTCACACCTACAGCCAATTAACCTAACGTGCACATCTTTGGACTGTGGGAGGAAGCTGGAGTACCCAGAGAAAACCCACGCTGACACGGGGAGAACATGGAAACTCCGCACAGAGGGGCTCCTCCACCCTGGGTTTGAACCAGGAACCCTCTTGCTGTGAGGCGACAATGGTAACAAGCGCAAATTTGCAATAGCTGTGACCATGTAAACACATGCATCTATGCATTCAGGCATTTAGCTCCCCTGTTTTAGCCTCCATACCAAATTTCTGTCTCTTAGGGCAACAACTGTGGCCCCTAAAGGGTGGGAAATTTTAGTTTAAACTGACAAAACTGTCAAAGTGAGCTATAGGGCTGCTGGTCACAGCTAAAAACACAAGTTAACATGCTTCATTTTAAAGGGCCACAAGCACAAACAGTTGAGAAACACTGCCTAGAGCGGTGGTTCCCAACTGGTCCAGCCACAGGGTCCAGATTTTTCCTTAGTCATTAGTTCAAGGTCCACATATATTCGGAGTCATACTTGCGTTTGGCCATGACGTTGAGCTGGTTTACTGTCTCTGTTAAGTAGCTGCCCATTAGTCAGTCACTCTACAGCAGGAAATGACTTAAAAATTAAAGCACTATGGTGGAAATTCACTGTACACCAAAATAAAGTGTGTTTTTTATGAATTGGACATGTTTGCAAGTCACCTGCGGTCCATTCAGAATGGACCTGTGACCCACTTTTGGACCATGACCCACCACTTGGGAACCATTGCCATAGAGGACACACATATATGCCAGCTTGCTTTCTTGTGCCAAGAACTATGGTGGGCTATCTACAGTCAGTGTTTGGTTTGTCCATTCTGGGTCACTGTAGAAACAACATGGCAGACTCCATAGATGAGGACCTGCTCTGTATGTAGATATAAACATCTCATTCAAGGGTAACGAAAACATAGCAATTCTTATTTTCAGGTTATGATGAACTAATGAAAACATACTTATGATTAAGGTTAGGGTTACTAACAACAGATGCACCTAAATACTACACACTAGACCTTTAAGACAGAGAGTGAACATGATCTATCACATTATTTTGAGAGCATGAAAATCCACATAGTTGAAATTGAAACCCTCAAAATGAAAGATATCTGGGAGGAAGAAGAATCCTCTTTGAAATGTAGGAAGGCTTTGCCTCTGCTTGTCAATACCTGCTCCAGTTCAGTAGAATTTCGAGCCAGGCATTTTAGTCGAGATGTGCCAAACTCAGCCCCACTACACCATCCAGCTGGGAGGTGGGAGGTTGTGCACCCTTTTTATTACTGTTCCCTATTTTGGCATCGGCTGAGGCCCAGGCATGTGACATGATGAATAACAAGATGTCTGCATGGGTTCAGTGTTCCCTCACTGCGGGTGAGCTGCAGCTTTCAATAGCTCCTCTTCATTTGCCATCTGTGACGCGTTTGAATGACTGGTTGTTAAACTGGTGGGAATAAATTATCATACAGTCTGAAATCACGATAGAAAGTTAAGATCTGAATCATACACTGCAAGTACAAAAGTTGGGTTTCTCTGTGCAACTTTGTACCCTGCTGCGTTATTATTTCACACTCTGAAGTTGAGCCTTGTTGCATCATGATTACAGCTGTTCCACAGCAAACTGTGCAGTTTGAAGCAGAGTGCCGTTTATTCACAGCAGACCCTCGGGATAAGTGGCTTCATATCCTCAGCTCTGATTTGGGCTGCTTTTCTCCTCTCACTCCTGTGATTGAGACATTTATAACCGAGGAGAAGGTGTCCATCCTGTAATAGACATTTTTACCCGAGGGGAAAGTGTCCATTAAAAAGTCACTGAGCTCTCCTTTGAGAGACCCGTATCTGATTCCAGTCTGATGTGGCCCTCCTGAGGCAGGAGTGTAAGGTTTTTAATCTTGTAAGTGATGGGAAAAGCAGAAATGAAGGCTCAGTTTTGCTATCACTTACAGTTAAAGAACAAGAACTGCAGCTACTGTATAACGCTGAGGGCACCAACCACCAGATCAATCATCCCAACTGTTATACATGTTTTAGGGATATGTATCAGGTTAAATGTTGCTTGGGGTTAATTGATATTGACAAACGGGTTTTTGAATCTTAGTGGTGAAATAATTAGTTGATGTATTTATCAGTTGAGGGACAGAATATCAACCTTTAACTGTTTTTAAAATAATTTAGCAAGCAAGCATACTAAACATGTCCTGGTTCCAGCTTGTCATATATGAGGGTTTTCTTCTTTAAGTGCTTTATACTATGGTAAATAGAATATATTTGGGATTTGGACTGATGGTCAGTCAGGCTGATGATATTTTGTCAGACTAGACAATGTTTAGATTAAATGAGAATAAAGATATTTGGTGCAGCCCGACCTGGAGGTTGTACAGAGGGCACGTCCAAAGTCCGGCCTAAGGTCCAGTTGTGGCCCACAGACCAATTATAAATTGTCCACAGCTTGTCTTTTAAAATATATTGCCTGCCACACAATACTGGTTAAACAAGCAAGATCACGTGGCATTTTTTACATTCACCTCACAACTGCTAGGCTATCATACAGTTTCCCAGCACACATTTGTATGTGGGGCCCGTGTAGGTGGTAAATGGGCTGAAAATGGGCCCTATATCGGACATGTACCATGGGTGGTCTTACCTGGGGCTACCTGAGTACAAAGTGGGCATGGGTCTGGACTGGGTATCTTATCTGAGGTCCACTTGGATAAACCCACACTTGTGGGCAAATGTCATGGGGCCAATATGGAACCTGTGGACAGTACCATATGGGGCCCATTTTTCAGCCCATTTACTACCCACATAGGTCCCACATATGAATGCTGGCTGGGTTGTGGACATACACCAAGTAGGAACTGTCATAAGCAGATGATAAACAAGCCAGTGAACGGTTAGCAGCAGACATTTCCTGACATGGCCACAGCTAAGGAGCATAAAGTCGACAGCCAGGAGTGGTGTAAAGTTTAATTACTTTATTACGAAAAGATGCATTTGTCTCATTTGTATGTTTTTGTATTTGTTTTTAATAACCCATATGATGCAAGAAGCAGCAGCCCCCCAGGTATTTTCACTCTATCTAATCTGGCCCCCAATTAAAAAAAAAAGTTTGGACACCCCTGAACTGGCCAGCTGTTAGTAAATACAAGCAGGGGGACAACATTTTTCAAAAGTGGGCCCCTCATCCACATCCACAGGGGGGATTCCTATACATTTCCATATCTTCTGCAGTATATCATCCAATTAATCATACTTCCACATGTATTTTGTATCTACTTGTACTTGTATCTACTGTTGAGGCCTTGTTTTCTTATTATGAAAAGCAAAGGTAGTCACGTGTGTCCTGGGCTGAAAAATGCCCTCGACTGAATGATTAGAGAAAAGTAAAATTAAAACACTGACTGAGGAAATTACTGCAAGGTCTTAAATCATAAAATCAAATCAGGATTGAACAAATAACTTTTTTTCCCTTCATTTTGGCTTATTCATTCAACCTTGAGGGCTACTGTAATTAAATATTAGTCAAATCATGTGCAGAACTGAAATAGTGTAAAGAGTAAACGGCTGTCAACTCTCACTTTTACAGTCATACCCAATTAGTATCAGAGTAGTATCAGATGACATGTTGAAAGGTATTGTAACTATAACATTACATTTATTTATCATGTAAATACATATACCTTGTTTTGTCAGGGGTTTAAGCCATATGTAATTTGTTGATCCCATTTAAGAGTTAACCATAGATCTTCTCATGGGCCCCTGATGTACCATATTCCTGTCTTCATTTTTTTTTAATATACATCCAGAAATGCCCAAACATATAAATAATGACAGAAGTAGCTGCATCTTTGAATCACTTTATTATTGTGTTGTAACCCACAGACTTTGCTCTTTTTTTCCTATTGAGCACCAGAGACATTGTGAAATGAATATTACCTCTAAAAATCAGTGCTGTGCAATTTTAGAGTCTCTAAAATTACTCATCTGTCTGGGAGCACTTAATCACTTGTGGGCGTTCTGGCAATGAAATTAAACACCATTAGGAAGACAATTATCTAAACTTTTGTACCAGCACACAGCTTCTTAATATTAAAACATTAAAATCATATTTATATATCCTCAAAGACAGAAAAACATTGCACTCATTAACCTTTAATAATTAGCCTTTGGATACATCTGGGCTTTAACAGTGTGTCTTAAAATAGCATTGAAGTTAAGGAAGGTGGCC